GTCAGGTGTCGGCTTTTTTCGTAGGGTGAAAGTTATGTAGCAAGTCTTTTTTTCATTTATTCTGATGCGCCACTTCTCGAACCAATTTTGTAATGTACTAAGGCGATGTTGAAGGTCTGTTGCTGCTTTTTCTGGGTCTTTGTTAACTGACAATATAGCTATATCATCGGCAAATATTCCAAGAATTATATTTGAGGAAGTAGGTAGATCAGATGTAAATAAGGTGTATAAAGAAAGCAGTCTTCTGGGATTTGGCACCGTGTATATGTGGTGTTAACCGACGTTTCGGAGGAACGTATCGCCTCCATCTTCAGGGTAGAAGAAAAAATATATAAGAAATCTGCAAGCAAAGAGACCGTGAGAACCGGAAAAATTTTCCACACAGTCTGCTTTTACCGGTTCTCACGGTCTCTTCGCTTGAAGATTTCTTATTTTTTCTTCTACCCTGAAGATGGAGGCAATACGTTCCTCCGAAACGTCGGTTAACACCACATATACACGGTGCCAAATCCCAGAAGACTGCTTTCTTCATAGTCACCGCCGTGAAAGCCTCAAATCTTACAAGGTGTATAAAGTTGGGCCAAGGACACTGCCCTGTGGCATGCCTGCTTTTATCGGTTGTGGTTCAGATTTTTCGTTTCCCACCCTTACCGACGATTACAGATAACGTAGAACTAACGCCCGACTAACATTACCTCTTCGTAACGTCAATCTGGACACGTTAATATTAGTAGCAGTAATCGGCGTGAGCACTATCCCTTTACCTTGCGGTTACGGAGGTGTGTGTACAGACATGTGTCCGCTGTTTCCAGTGAAGACTGAAATGACTTAAGTCCACTGTAGCTGGTGGTGAGAATGGGGCTCAGCAACGTTTGTGAAAATTTGCAAACTTTAATTAATGCAAGTAAGGATACTGGTCTAGAAGTAAACACAGAGAAAACTAAATATATGTTGGTATTTCGTCACCAAAATGCAAGGCAAAATCATGACATAAAGATAGGTAACAGATGTTTTGAAAATGTGGCACAGTTCAGATATTTGGGGACAATGATAACAGATCGAAACCTGATTCAGGAGAATATTAAGATGAGATTGAACTCCGGTAATGCTTGCTACCATTCAGTTCAGAATCTTTTGTCTTCTCGTTTGCTGTCTAAAAACATAAAAATTAGAATATACAAAATTTTAATTTTGCCTGTGGTTCTCTATGGGGAAGAAACTTGGTCTCTAACATTAAGGGAGGAACATAGACTGAGGGCGAATAGGGTGTTGAGGAGAATATTTCGACCGAAGAGAGATGAAATTACAGGTGATTGGAGAAAACTGCATAATGAGGAGCTTCGTAGCTTGTGCTCTTCTCCAAATATAATTAGAATGATCATGACAAGGAGAATGAAATGGGCAGGGAATGTAGCACGAACGGGGAGAGGAGAAATGCATATAGGATATTGGCGAGGAGTCGGAAGCAAGGATACTACTGGGACAATATTGAAATGGATCTCAAAATTATAGGATGGTATGGTATAGATCGCATTGATCTGGCTCAGGATAGGGATCAGTGTAGGGCTCTTGTGAACACGGTAATGAACCTTTGGGTTTCATAAAATGTTGGGAAGATCTTGAGTAGCTGCACAGTTGGCAGCTTCTCAAGAGGCACTCAGTTCCATAAGCGAGAGAGTAAAAACGACATACTCGTAAGTCTCATCATTATCCCGGGACAAAATACATAGGAGCAAGGAGCCTCAGAGACCTGAGACATGACGTAAACTATGAAAGCCACGGTGACACATTGTGTTAATGAAGTGCATGGAAATCTTTACTTCTTTCAACTTTGCCATTTTTTGCATACGAATATTTTCAAGCAAAACACACAGAAGAAAAATTATGTTAAACTGAAGACATAGTACACATTATGTAAGTACCTAACTCCTTGCAGCCGAATCCTCCTTGAGAAAATACAGCTACTTAATTAATCACGAATTCCCCCAACCACCCACACACTTTTTGTTGTGGCTCTACGGCAATTTGTTAGGCCTCTACCGTTTGCTTTTCAGTTCTTGATCTAAAACAGTCTGCAGGGCCCCTTGGACAGGGGAACAGCCTGTCACAAGGCCGCTACCTACACACAGAATAACATAAACACAGAATAAACATATATAATACTGTCATCTTGCCTTCAGTTGGATTCAAACCCACGATCCAAACTTTCGAGGGAGCGAAAGTATTTAATATCTTAGACCGCGTCCCACTGTGATCGGTTCTACCCCCTTTTGGTAACAGATTTTTTGTCAGAAAACCTGAAAGGATAGATCACTTTGGAGACTTACGAATGCAAGCAAGAAAATTAACATTAATCGTAAAGCAATAGTGTTTGGGGTTGGTTAGTTAGTTAGTTAGTTCATCTGGCTCATTGTACGGTCCAGCAGTGGCATCTTTCAAATCGAAAATGAAACTGCAGTTCCCATTAAAGAGGGGGACCATCTCGAGCAGTGTGCGACTTTTAGCTTCGCATGAAGGACTTTCACTTTAGTTGACTGTGGAGCTCAGTGCACTCTGGCACGGAAAGGGAAGATATTAGGCTACGGAGCGGAAGGTTACTAGCATTTCTCGTCTGGTACAGAAATTTCTCAAACTCAATTAACGCAATTCTACTTTGCACTAAGAAGACGAAATGAGGAAGGAAACGAACACATAAATAAGTCTTGTTCTCAGAGAACTAGAACTTTATATTCACTTATGCTAGAAACAAATTAGTATTAATTACTAAAATACAAGTGATTTGACCTTTCTTGCCTTGTCCTTTCTTATTCGCTGGTTGGGGTGAGTGAATCCACTGGATACGCACGTCACGAGTGGGCCCACGGTATCAGTCCCGGATAATGATGATGGTGATTGTGGAGCTGTTGGCGGAATGAGAATTGGGAAAGGAACCAAGGTACATGGAAGTAACCTTCTCGAGGACCAGACTCCCCACCACAAATCCCCTATACCCTGACCTGGAATTGAATCCGGGCGGCCACAACGGGAAGACTCGGACTAATAGTCTCAGCTGTGGCATGCCCCGTGGGTGTGGTTGCGTTCCTTAAGAATATCACGAAATTTTTAGAAAAAACATTAAGGAACGAAAAAAGCTTAGGTATTGAATTCTCTTTGAGTTGAGGTCAGGTCATCATATATATGGTTTCTTTGTGAAATGCAAGAAAATAAATGTTCCCATATCTGTAACCCTGGACCTATGAGTCGCGCAAGTTTCCTGTGATTATATTGCTTACGATTATGTGGGTTATTTTAACTTGCAGACGAAACTGATTAGTGCACGGTAGGATACAGTTGGCTACTCAGTGCTGAACAGCAATTCAATTCGTCCGAAATCGGTTGTTGCTCGAAAGGCAATTGTAGGTTAGTGAATAAAATCCGTCATAAATATAATCTCCCTCACCTATCAACTGGGACTGGTATAATAGGCCATAAGTGGCCGCAGTACAAGAAACTTAGTCCCACCCCACTAGCAATAAAAAAAATACATGAAACAAACAAAACACACTCAGTAGCTTTAATCCACAAACGATCTATACCGACCGAGGGACAGCCGCTTGTCGGCGAAGTTAGTGCCAACTTCAGTAGGTAGAGGGCGTCGCGTGGTCAGCGCAACGTATCCCCATGGCCATTAATTTCGGTTTTATAGGCCGGAAGTATTTATAAAATTGAATTCTAATTAACATATACTTCGCATGCGCACAAAGCTATGTTTCTTTATTCCTATATCTTCAAGGAACATGATTTTAATTTACATTCACTTTAACCATTACTGGACCACCTCTGTGGTCAGAGTTCCTGGCTACAGATCCAGAGGTCCGGATTCGATTCTTGGCGCTACCAGATTCTTTCGGAGAAGTAGTGGGTCTGGAACGGGGTCCGGTCTAGGAAACCGAAATTAACGGCCGTGGGGATTCGTTGCTCTGATCACGCGACACCCTCTACCCACAAAAGTTGGCACTAAAATCTTCGCCGACAAGCGGCGGTCGCTCGGTCGGTATAGTTCGCTTGCGGACTAAAATCACGGAGATTTTTTTTAATCAGTACTGATCGATTTTTAGGTTATTGACAGATATTTTATTCGAAAGCATTTATTGTTCCTAATTATTCTGAAACTATGATACAGACAGTTTTATCATCTGTTTAATATAAAAAAAAGATCACTTTGAAACTCTATATCATCGAAGGCTTTAGAATAATTGCAACATCCAATACTCCGTCAGAATGTTTTTCTGCTTTGTGGTGTGTGCACGACCGTCCAAAGCCAAAAATATAGAATAATTATTACAGGATACAATAACATAATTGGTGATGGTACTGGAGGATTTATATTTACAAAATCAGCAGATTGGAGATACTTGTAACGTCACATGATATTTGATGTTTTCCCGGCTCAGAACCTGCACGTTGTACTCTTCTCTCCTATGAGAACTATAAGGGGAATGTGAGAAATATATTCAACTGGATCAGAAGAATTCAAAATTAACATTTAATTTATCTCAATTATAGCTTCCGAAATAAGAACTGAGATCATATATGCCATTATGTAAGATCTGAGATTTTCACGGCATTCTTCATAGTCACCGCTGCGGAAACCTCAAATCTTATATAGTTTCCCCCTATGGGGAGGCTACACATCGACAAAAACAAGATCTACACAGCGCCACATCCCAGGAGATTACTTTCTTGTTTTACGGATCTTTCTGTTGTTTAAAGCGATATTATACAACTGTGTACATTGCAGACAATTTCCGCCTTGAATTTAAGAACGTTCTTCTTTTCATAGAAATTAAATATCCTTGAGGGCCGAAGTCTACTCATGAATGTCTTTCATTGATTCGTGTCAAATCGTATTGAATCATCTGCGTCAAATCCAGGAACAGAACTTAACGTGAATTGAACCATTTTCTACTAAAGTTTATAATCGAGACCAGCGTGAAAGTTAAAGAGGTTTCTGTACTCACATTTATGTGACGGCCCGGTTCGTCCTCTACGAGTTGACGGGCGATGTCCTTGCAAGTGGCTCGGGCGCTTGGTGTCACTTTTCCGTCGTCCTCCCAGTATCGGCTGGGCGAATGGGCGAACAGCGCCGCAGGGGTTGCATGCGTCACCCGAGTGTTTGTCACCAGCCCTGTCGCTTTGCCTGTAGGCGTCAGAATAAAAATGAAACCCGTTTTAGCAAATTAAAAAAGCGTGAAAATTATGTGGCCTTAGACTAACTGCCTGCAAAACAGGATCGATAGCCCTTTGGGCTGTGCAGGGGCCTTTAAATAAGCAGCCTTCTGTCCGAATGTGGCCCGCATGAAATAGAACCATGAAAAATTGAACACTGGAAAGTGTGTACAATCCATCTACTTTGCATAGAATATACATTACGAAATTCAGAGAGTACCAGGGAGCACTGCAATGGGATATACACGTCAGGCCAGCTGCCTATGTACGCTAAAATTAGGGATACAATATGATTTCAGAAAAGACAATGATGAATTTCTTTTATAGCCCAGTAAACAAACTTGTCTATAATCACATGTATATAAAATACACCAATTAAAACAGAATAAAATCAAATTGCAAGACAAAATCAAACGAAAAATATAAAGCTATCCCTGTAACAGGCCGTGGAAGCCCATAGGGTTTTTAGTCGTAGAGGTTCCCACATTTCCTAGAAAATCTGCTCACACATGGCGGTGAGATTATCAGTTTTGCGTGCCGGTCGCCCCTTTTGCTCCCAGGAAGATTCTTGGTACTCATTTCTGCTAGAGGCTGAGTCGACTCCAGGGCCATTGTGCAGCTGGAAGGATTAGGTCAACTGAGAAATCCAATGACCTCAATGGGAATAAAACCCGCGACCTTCCGGCTTGGAGCATAGTGCCTCATCCAACCACGCTACGGCGTGCCCCCAACAAAACTCTAACCCTCCGTAATAGATAATTGCAAGATGTTCGAAAATCTCTCTGGGAACTACATAAATAAAACATAAATTATGTTCATGATAAGATGAAGGGAAAATACAGTCCGTAAGTGTTATTATTCAGTTTGAAGACTATTCATATCCATTCTAATTTGCAGGATGACACATAGTAATTGCACTGATACTTGTTTGGCACGAATGTGAAATATGGTCTCCTCGGTTGAGGCGAAAACATGAATTAAAATATTTGAAAGGAAAGTTTTCATGAAAACATTTGGCAGTAAGGAGGGATTTTGTGAGTAATCTGGGATTTGAATAAGGAAGAACTTCGTGATTTTTACAGGTCACTTATGTTCTTAGAATTTTTAAATTAGGGAGCCTTGGACAGATTTCTCTTTGGTTTGGGATAAGAACGTGGCTTCAGTGCAGAACTGGAGGACTGAATACCGTGGTACCTCGGGAGATATTGGATTGTGGGTTCAGGAATGAGAAGGGAGATAATATTAATTTGGGTGGTGGGAGTGCAGGGTTGTGATGATGGGCGGGGGATGAAACTAACACAAAATTGAGATCGGTGGTGTTAGCTGTTGAAATATTGGTTTTGTCAGAGTACAGTGTAAGATAGGCAATTATGGACAAACAGGGTACTGAGACTAGAAGTGGCTTACCATGCACTGCAATCAGCGCGTCGCACTGAACTCTCGCACAGGAATACTCGTAGGTGGTACTGAGCCGCAACTCGGTTATTGTGTTCTGCTGGAAATTTCCGTCTAGATCCCAATAAAATGCTGTCATTTCATGAACAGACCCAGCAATTCGTTTTATCAACCTGTGCCTCGCTGTTAATTAAATCAATATTTTGTGAAGTTATCGCTAGATATTTCAATGAAGACAACTAAGAAAAACGCACTCACTCAAATTTAGATAATAAGTAACCACTGTCCAGGTCAATGAAATTATTCAGAGGCAAAATATGGACTTCAGGAAAAAATATTAAATTTTCAGTACGTGTGTAGTTATTGTAACTGTAAGATATATCATTGTAAATAGAATTTCATGTGAAATTCCATTTAAAGCTTTTAAAATATTGAGAGTAATACATTTCCAACCTCAAAGTACCTTTTAATTTAAACGAAAAGGCTTTGTAACATTTTATCATTTTAAAAGACTAATTGAGGAGGATAGACAACCTCTGTGGTCTAGTGGTCAGCGATCTTGGCTACAGATCCAGAGATCAAGGTTCGATTCCCAGGGCTACCAAACTTTTTCTGAGAAGTAGTGGGTCTGGGACGGGGTCCACTCAGCCTCGTGATGATAACTGAGGAGCTATTTCAAGGAAGTAGCGGCTCCGGTCTACAAAACCGAAATTAACCGCCATTGGGATTCGTTGCGCTGACCACGCGACACCCTCTATCCGCTAAAGTTGGCACTAAACTTCGCCGCCAAGCGGCGGTCGCTCGGTCGGTACAATTCGCTTGCGGATTAAAATCACGGAATTTGTTTTGAGGAGGATATCTGTGCATATGACAGTCATTATTCAACTATTCCTACTTAATGGATGATCAATAAATTCCCCGCTTTTATGGAACTCAGAGGTTTACTAACACATTTTCTTTTACAGACACAATAATTTTGAACATTAAGTCCCCATGAGTTCCAAAAGTAACGGTTTGGTGATGTGTTACTAGCACACTCAGTTGTCATGGGCTGGAATGGAAAATGTACCACTTGTTCACTTTTTTAGAAAAAATTATGTACAAGTGGGACAATGGGTGAACGAAGTTCTGAGAAATGACGTAAATTATGAACATTGCTTGTATAGCAATAGACAAAAATAATAGAAATGTAACAAGAGTTAAAGACTATTTGAAAACTGGTGTCCCCTATCTCACTTTTAATATGCTTCAAAAGTCTGAATGAAATTGTTAATACCAAAAGTACTTAGGTCAATAAGTATGGTTAGAAAAAGAATTAAAATCTCCCAAACGTTTGGTAAAACGTATACATATTAGTAACTACAGTTTCCCTACAAGTTATGTGTCGTGAAACGTAGGTTAGAAACGCTGGTCACATTAGACCAGCGGTCTAAGGCACGTTCTGACTTTGCTCGCTCGGAAGCCGAAATCGTGGGTTCGAATCTCACAAAAGGCATGGATGTTTGGTGTGTGTGTGTACGTTTATTCTGTGTTTAGGTAGCGGCCTTGTGACGAGCTGATCACTCGTCCAAGAAGTCCTACCGTTTGTAAAAATGATCAGTCCTATGCTACAGAGGGGGATCAAGAGTACAGAGAAAAAAAGTAAGAAACAAATGACTGTTGGTATATACACACGTTTCCTTTCACGAACCTGATCAGGAATTTAATATATCTGCGAAGAGACATTAAATATATGTAAGATATTACCTTCTCAAGACTGCGAAAAGAAATATATTAACATTTATGTAAACCAGTTTTATAAAACGTAATAGCAATTATGATTTTGTAACAGTAGCAATAAAGTGCTTAAGTATGTTCATAACGCTATTTTCTAGAACGCAAGACAGAGAGAGAAAGAGAGAGAGATTGCAAATGTCAGATATTCATCTCAGACTTATCGGTTAGAAAGCAAGAGAGCTGCAGAGTGCGGCTTCTGATGAGAATGGTGCAGTGTTCACAACTTGCACACAGACAAGCACTTGTACATAAGCACAAACAGCCACACTTACCTGCCTGCTGAGCCCAATCGAATAATGAGGGGACTCGGGACGAGAAGCTGGAGAAACAGTTCTCGAATCGACCACCTGAGTCGAGACCAACAGTCTCGAAATTGGCCTTCACACCACACAACAGAGCCGTTGCACAAGCAGAGGACTCGCCTATCTGGGCGTCAGAGTTGTACGTCTGGAAACAAGGAGGAAAAACGTTACAGGTAATTTCAGCAGAACTGTTGAACACTAAATATCTGGGTATATGAAAGCGCTGTTACTATGAATGCGGTTGCGGTAATCACAGCGTCATTTAAGGAATCAAACGTATAATTATTTTTAAGTGAACAAAGTCACGAAGGAGGCTGTAGGGACAGGAAAGTGGCATGTACAATATTTCAGAAGAACAGCTTCGTAGAAACTTGCCTTCTTATGTATCATGTTTAATTAACTAATAGTTGTTCAAGTTGATTTAAGAATAATTTTAGTTTCGTTTGAAAGAGGGAAAGATTCGAGAATCACCAATTCCAAGTGCATTCTTTAGCCATGTGTTGGTATTAATTGATTTAATTTCTGAAAGCTTTCCATGTTTCCTTCAGATTCTGCCCACACATCTCTCTTACACAAAAAACACTCCACACAATCAGTGACCCGACTCTGAATTCAGACGTAGGCCATAACTGATTTGAGGTTCCCACATTGCTGATTGCGAATGTGAAGCCTTATAGTCGGGTAGAAGGACGCCGAAATTTCGGAGAAAAGGCACTTAATTATACCGGACCACGCACTCTCATATCATAGAAGACAATATTCTTCATATCTGTAAGCTACCGTATTTACGCATGTACAGGCCGCACATTTTTTGCCAAAAATTCAAGAGGAAAACTGGGGTGCGGCTTATATTCGAAATATTCGAAATCACACTTCATTTTAAAAAAATGTTAAACGTTGCCAAATTTCGGAATAATTTCTACTCCTGAAATAATATTCCAAGGAAATTATTTTTTCTATAATTTCTGTCTGAAAATTGTGCTGCGGCCTATACATGCATAAATACGGTATTTACATCAGTTGTATACAAGTGTACCAGTAAAATGACTAAAATATGTGAGGACTTCAGTCACCCCCTCATTCATGGACACTCTTTTGGAGATAATTATTGATTCATCTCAAGGACGACAACTGTATCCTTAGTCATGTGTTCACATTACCATGAATTTTGTACATATATTATCTCTAACATAATATTACATTGTAACTTGGATGGCCACAGCGTTGCTAAGCAACGGCTCAGCAAACAAACATCAACAACAGCGAGACTGTTTTCTATGGAGTCCGCGCCGCAACCGTTGTTATGTAACGGTTTAGTAAACACGTTTCAACAATAGAGACTGTTTTCTGCGTAATCCGTGCTGAAGTTTTATAGGGGACAGCGAAGGTCGTTTGAAGTCAGTTCTCGGTAGGAGGCAGTTCAAGACGATTGAGAGACTAGTGTAGTGCAGTAGAGGCTTCTACACAGTTTGAGAAGATATTAGAGGCGAAATGAAGATACCAGAATCCAGAGAAGAATCCAAGAGCAGAGTTCCGTTGTCTATAAACGAAGATTAGAATTGAAGTGTTGAAGACTTTACTTTGTGTGTCATTTTTCCAGGAACAATTTGGAGTGTTATAATTAATTGTAGTTACAACCTGTTGGTGTTAATAAATCCAATCACCAATCCAAACCCCGCATCTTAGTCACTCAAACACGTAGTAGTATGTGTAAGGTGTCGGCTATAAAATTCAGCCCTTGCACTGCGACCTTCAATGATCTATTGTGCTTCCCCTTTGTATTAACCCTTTTCTAATCCTACACTTCGAATGAAATGTAGGACTTTATTTATGGGGGTGTCATAAAAGTCACTTGGTTCCATGAAGAAATGGCTCAGGTGACGAAATCTTAAATAAGCTATGGCCTTACAGTCACACAGGATGTGTGTGGCTGATTCGTCTTCTTGTAGGCACCTTTCACAGGTTGGGTCATATGTCACAGTCTGGAAAGGTGTCCTTTTAGGTGGCAGCGTCCAATCTCCCCAATATATAAATACAAATTGTTTTCATATTCCTGACTCTTCACACCGACCTCAAGATCCCACATGTAAGAACCGTAATCACAGACAGAATCCAAAAACGTTATCAGAAACTGGAATCTCACCCCAACAACGCAATAGAAGCTCTCNGTTCCTGACTCTTGTATAAGCAGTAATATTTGTCCCTTTGCTTAGCTACTTAAGCACTACGCCATGACGACTTACGGGGGAGGGGACATATAAACCCACGTAGTCTTGATCTCGGCACTAGTTGGATAAGCTTCACATCCCTACCGCTTTACTCCCTGGAAACAACCCCCAATACTCATTGGGTAGGAGGTTAGATGGGCTCAATTATCGGTCTGGATGACGTAGTGAAAAAGAATCCTTCACCCCAGCGGGACTCAAACTCCGACCCTCTGTCTTCCAGCTCGTAGCAAGTCGTTATACTNCCTGACTCTTGTACAAGCAGTAATATTTGTCCCTTTGCTTAGCTACGTAAGCACTACGCCATGACGACTTACGGGGGAGTGGATATGTAAATCCAGGTAGTCTTGATCTCGGCACTAGTTGGATAAGCTTCACATCCCTACCGCTTTACTCCCTGGAAACAACCCCCCATACTCATTGGGTAGGAGGTTAGGTGGGCTCAATTATCGGTCTGGATGACGTAGTGAAAAAGAATCCTTCACCCCAGCGGGACTCAAACTCCGACCCTCTGTCTTCCAGCTCGTAGCAAGTCGTTATACTGCCTGCGCTATCCTCACTTTTCCAGTAAGCAGCAGGTCTGTTTATTCCATAAACCGTTTCCTCTCCACCTGAAGCTCAAGGCCGGAGTCGCTGAGGGAGCTTTGCGTTAGACGCACGAGCTATGTAACGGTATCTGCTCTCGGATCCAACTCTGTCCCCAGGGATGAGCCGGTTCACCTACGGAATATCAAACAAACACCGAAGCGAATAGAAGCTGCCATGCATGCAGGGGAGATCGGCCAGTGGACTAGTATTAGGAGAGTATAAATTTAAAGAGGTTCTCCACAGATCATCCTTTTTTTTTTCTTCTTTCCACTTTTGTTCTTATCCTCCCGAAGTACAGGATTATCTAGAAAAGAGCGTCGGTCTAAAACCAGAGAATCTACGAACTCCTGCACACCTCAGAACTTGTTTATTCTGCGTCTGTTCCGAAGAAAGCTGTGTTCTTATTTCGGCAGTGACTAGGAGACGCGTTCTGTTATCAAGAGACAAGCCCACACTAAAAACAGTTTTCAATCTATGTGAAATATCTATTTGTAAGGGTTTTTTTTTTCACGAGACCGGAAAGAGTGTAATATTAACTTCGCATGTGGTCTGAATAAATTTTGCAGGAGTTCAGGTTCTCACAACACTCACTATGAAGATTTCTGTCTTCTGGGATATAGTGTCACGTACTCCGCAGAAAGTAAACAGACTTTTCAGGAAGTAAATTTTTTTTTAATTCGCTAGTGGGGGATGGAGTCCAGTTGGGTCCACTCGGCACGGAGGCCACTGATAAACCTACTGTGCCTGCCCCGGGTGATTATAATGATGGAGAATTTGGTGGAATGAAGATTGGCAGGGGAAACCGAAGTACTCGGAGAAAACTCGCCCCAGCGCCACTTTGTCCACCACAAATCCCACTCGACCAGACCCGGGATGGAACCAGGGTCGCCTCGGTGGGAAGCCAGCCACCCCCATCTTGTGGGTCGAAGAATAAAACAAGTAACTAACATGAATCTGGTAGCATGTGGTCTTAACTGACATGTCGGATGATTTTCAACACGGCATTTTATCCCAGAAAACAGCTCTTAATGAATTTTATTTGAGAGTAAATAAATCTGAAATGAAAATACTGAGTTTCCCTAAGTGGCAGTAGGTAGAATGTTATTACTGCTTCAGTGTTATTTATAATATATGTCGTAATCCATTATTATTGAGAAATCTCATACAGCAGAGACTCTTCTAGAAGCTGGTATTAGCTAACCAGCGTGTCATGAAAATCCTCTCCTTTTTTTGGAACTGGGGGCTTCTTTGTACATCCTCTCGTTCTACTTCTCTACATTCCGTATTTATGGAATGTTTTCTCAAGTAGCGTCCTTCCTTCAGGGCCTACGTCTGCAATTGTTTACACATTTCACACCGTAAATGTAACATACCTGTTGATGTAAGATTTGAGGCTTTCACGGCGGTGACTATGAAGAAAGCAGTCTTCTGGGATTTGGCACCGTGTATATGTGGTGTTAACCGACGTTTCGGAGGAACGTATCGCCCCCATCTTCAGGGTTGAAGAAAAAGTATAAGTAAATCTGCAAGNCTCAGTCTTGCGCTCTTGTCGCTGAAGGAGAAGAGTTTAAAGCTGAAGTTTTGTGCTCCTTACGAACACAGCGGCACCGAACCTCGGCTTAAAGAGAATGGTTTCATTACTCTTGTAGTTACTGAAACTTGCGATATGTCATAACAGAGGGTCATTACGTCCTTCCAGTTATAAGAGTAACTGTAAAGTTAAAGCGTACATGCGAAGAAAGCATTTATTTATTGGTGGTCCATTGTAGGATGACGTCAGTAACTCGCATCAAAGAGGGTCAGAATTCAGGTTGATAAGGAAATAATAGCCGGTCACGGTAGCCGAGCGGTCTAAGGTATGTACTGTCTTCGCTCGCTCGGAAGCCGGGGTCGTGGGTTCGAATCTCACTCAGGGTATGGATGTTTGTGTGCGTTTTTCTGTGTTTGTGTACTGGTAGAGGCCTTGCGACGAGCTGATCACCCGCCCAAGGAATCCTACCGTATGTCTAAGATCTAGAAACACCGAAGTGAACGGAGAAGTTCATGGAGGTAGGCCTAGGCCCACTGGGGCTGTAGTGCGAAGAAAAAAAAAAAAGAAAATAATAACTTGCAAGGAATGTGAAAGAATCGACCGTGTCCTGATCAGCGGTATTATGCCGGAACTTGCTTCGAAAGAATGAGGAAAGCCAAGAGAACCCTCAATCAGAATACTCGGTTTTGCGGTCCAGACTCTTGCAGGGTACAGGTTAGGAGAGTAATCTACATAGCAAACTTTCTCGGCAAGGCTAGCGTAACTAACCAGGAAAGTCACTGATAAGGGCCCGTAAAGTAA